CAGATGCAATATTTAATTGTAGTGCAACGGCTGCCGATACAAGAAAATGTTAAAAGTTAGTTTTCTGTATAATTATTTGTTTTTAATGAAATTAATACATTTCTAAAAATAAAAAAAAAATCACACAGAACACTAGTAAAACAACAAATAAAGAGTTTCACTTCTTAATATACTGCTGCTTTTATACATAGACTGTTTATTTTTATATTTTGTAACAATTCTTATTAAACTTAGCTTGATTTCTGGAGATCTTGGACCCCCAAATTGATGGTTTCTGGCCCACAACGGGGACACGAACCCTACTTTGGGAACCATCGTGAGAAAAGACGGTGGGCATCCTTCGCCCTGAACGCTGACCTGCAGGAAGTCAACGGGTTCACGAACCACAACAGTTTCTTGGTTATGTTTTGCACAACGTCCTTTACGCGTTCACTTTATGCTTTTGAAACATTTCCAGGATGATGACGACACCTGTGAAGGTTTAACAGAGGCCCGACACCGTCCTGAACCGAGACGCGGCGACCAGCACATTAGCTAACTCACCTCTTTACCCGGACAGGTAAAGGTGAGCGGTTCGTGCACGTTGTGCGGCGTTACTTGAACATTTTATTTGCAGCTCTCGGGCATTAAAAATGGTTACGAGCACCTGTTGAGCGGGGCGGTCACGTGACGCTAACGTTACCTTAGCTTAGTGTAACAGACGCTAAAACTTACAATGGCGGAAAAAAAATACTTCACCTGGATTTCATTTAATCGACAGGAGGCGGGTTGAACCGCGCAGGACGCAGCGAGTCGACTGTGGCGAGGGCTTACCTGTTGAACTGCGGGTGAGTGGACGCTGCTGCGCGGCTCCAGCTCCTGGCAGCCTCCGGGGAAACGCTCACCTTCGCCCCCTCGTCCCGCTGCTCGGCGGCCGCTAGAGGGCGCCAGAGCGCGCAACAACATCCCGCAATTCTATTCTTCTCCCTTGATTCAGCCCGTTTATATTTAATTTCCCTTGGTTTATCTTTTATTATTATTATTAGTTAAACTCTTTCTATAATATTAAAATCAGAATAAATAAATATAGTGGAGAAAATGTACTCTAAAACAAGATTAAAATGAGTTTTTACGCTGTAAACAATTCAGTTTATTTAAATAGTGCCAAGTCACAACAGAAGTTGTCTCAGAGCACTGTACAAAAACATTCACATAAATAAAAGATAAAAAATAAAACAAAAGTTCTCTATCTTCATCAGCCAGCGGTCATCTGCTTGGACCTGCTGGGTTTGAGAGGACAGGAAGGAGAAACAGACAAACGCAGAATGGCAGGTCCAGGAGTACTTTCTATAGGAAGAATACAAAAAAAAAAAAAAAACCTTTTAAGGATATAAATAATTACAAATGCAAACAAGTAGAGCAGAGCAAGTAAAAACAGTAGCAGAGAGAGGAAAAGTGGTCAATTTGTTCTCCAGCAGTCTATAGCAGAACTAAGGGATAGCTCAGGAAACCGAAGCTATAGGGTTTATAAAAAAAGGAAAGTCTTCATCCCAGTCTTAAAACTGGACAATGTGTCAGCCTCACAGACAGAAACTGGAGCCTGAGAACTGAACGATCTTCCTCCCATTCTGTTTTTGAAAACTCTATAGGAACCACAAGTAAACCTGCAGTCTGAGAGCAAAGTGCTCTGATGGGAAAATATAGAACACGATCTGTAATATAAGATGGAGCTAGGTTGTTGAGAGCTTTGTAGGTTAGAAGTAAGATTTTGAATTCAGTTCTGGACTTGGGAGCCAATGGAAGAAGCTAAAACTGCAGAAATAGATCGACAAGCAGCAAAACTTCAGAGCTGTGAAATAATTAATGAGAATCGTGTCTTTCTGTTCATATTTCAGGATATGTTACATCACCCTCATGCAACATGTAGTATTTTTCCCGTGCTGATGTATTTGTATTTTTACACATAAAAAAAAAATAAAGATAATGGTTAAAAAAGTGCTTTTTAACATTTATACAATAGTGAGATTGCACCCCAGATAAGCATAATTTAATTTTTAGAGCTGATTGTGAGGCAGAATAATGTTATATTTTATTTTAAATTATAAAATAAAATATGACTGAAACAAATCAACAACAAATAAACATTTAAAGAGATCAAAATGTGCACTCGCCTTTAGAGTTAATCTAAAACCTTTCATTCAATTTGATTATATTTAATATTTATAGACTAAATGGTGGTTTACTGGTGCAAATAAGGAGGTGCAGAAAGAGAGACAAGTCAAACAATGGAAGGGGTTGTGTTAGCGCACGAGTCAGTTATTAAAGATGGATTCACACAAGTGGGTGTGACGATGCATTCCTTCATTAGAGAACAAATGATCTGCAGTCGTGTCACAGTAAACGGTTAGGGAGCGTTTCACCCGTTCAAGAGTCGCTCTGATCTTCTGAGCCCTGTGGTGACTCCATCTGCAGAGACACAGCAAGAGAACAGCTTGAGGGCGTTTGTTACCGTCTGCAGGAGACAGCGCTCCTGGAGTGTCCAAGAAGTTTGAGTGACGTTTTTTTCTTCTTCTAAAACAAACAAAATGAACCAAAAAAGGAAAGGAGTCATCTGGAGAATGTGTGGAAACATAGCAAGACTACGAGGGATGAAATGAGCTGAAGACGTAGCCGAAAGGTAAAACTAGTTAGCCAAACGTTGCACAGGAAGACAAACGTTGAAGCAGATTCATGAGACCATGTATATGAAGGATCAAAGAGGTCTAAATAAAGTTAAATATTCTGAAAAAGAAAAGTTAAACGTCAGAGCATCCTCCTCCCTAATGAGCTGAATAGCACAAAGTGTGCAGAACTAGTTAGATTGCAATGTCTGAATAGCATGAAGGCTAACTCAGAAATCACTATTAATGTGATAAACATTTATGGTTTTACACTTAACACGTGCAGAAAGAAGAAATGCAGTAGATTAACTCTCTCCTGGCTCAAAGGCCTTTAAATGGGGAGTTGATACCAGTTAAAGGTGCATTTCACTAAAACACAACTTTCATTAAAACAAAGCAAAAGACAAAGAGGAAACATCTCTGTCCGTTCCCAGAATCAAGGATCCATTTCAGACCAGCTTAGCGGGGATTTGCTCCGACACAATCAGCCTAATCCCTGAAGCTGACCTTTTCACATACGCTCCCATTCTTCTCGTGAGCCGCACACTAATCCAGGAAACCCTCGTTAGGTCCCTCTTCAGCAGAAAGACACAGATTTACTCAAATATATTCAAATGAGTGTCGTGCCACTGATTCAGAGGGGGTGTAAGAAACATATACACTTTTGGACAGTCTGGCATTTTTAAAGGTGCGTTTGGTTTTTGAAGCAAACCACTAGAGGGGGGCAAAGTGTTGAAGCAACATGGTGACACTCAGAGAAGGAAACCACTGGTGGGAGGACCAGGTGGGTCCAGAACCAGCTCAAACACTTTGAATCACCTCAAAACAGGAAAAAAGTTGAAACTGTGAGGTGAGTTAATTTTTAAATGATGTCCAGAAGCAAAAGTTTCTTTAACATACCCATAAAATACTGCACTGAGTTGAAGGAATGTTACTAACTGAATGTTCCAGGCTGTTGGTAAAGTGGTGCAGGTCACGTGCTCATTGTTTTGTTGGTGTTTTTGGAGCGTTTCCAATAAAACCTGATGACTCATGTTTAAGGTGTAAAAGCTCTGCCCAGATGACGCTAGCAGCTTCTAAGATGCTGCTTCCTCACATGCGAAGACCCCCCCCCCCCCCACACACACACACACACACACACACACACACACACACACACACACACACACACCCACACACTGAGGGGGCAGACTCCACCTCTCCAAAGGGGCTCCCCCTTCTTGTTATCACTGTCTTGCTGAGAATCAAGATTTTTCACATTAGCGCTGCGTTAAATCCAACAAAAGACCCACATACCCCCAAACTTTCAGCTCTTTGACCACTGAAGCATCCTGCACAGACACCCCCCCCCCCCCACCCACACACACACACACACACACACACAGAGCAGCAGCACACCCCGCCTGTTGTTGACTCACGTGACCAGAGTTTACAGTTTAAAACCCATCTCTTAAACTTGCATCTGCTCATTCCCTAAAGTTTAAAAATAAAATAACATTAAAGTTCAGTTATTCCTTGAAGAAATGCATATCGCCCGCCGCTTTGTCACCAAACTTCAGAATGTCACGCGGTATCAAGAGTAACGCTCAGACAGTGAGTTGGGATGACTCTCAGCAACAAGCACCAAACTGGATCTTAACACGTGACGCGCACTGACAGCCACGTGGCCGTGGCGCCATCTTCAAGTAGTTAAACAGGTGTACACGATCATCCATTAAATATGGGATATTTTGCTAACTGGCGCGGTCAGTCTTCACCTTCAGCAGCGGACGATAATTAGTTCAGAGAAGTTTATTTGGACAAGATAATCTCCACAGTTTGGATATTAACGTGTTTTCATGTGAATCCTTGACCGGAAGTTGTTGATTGCGTGAATGATTCAAACGAGTTCTCACGTTCCATGTGTTTTATTAAACAATATAAATGTTTTAAAACCAAGCTGTATTTGTGTTTTGTTAAACTTTCTCGTTAACGTTTGATGTTTGCTCCAAAACGCACAATCAGTAGAAAAAAAAAAAAAAACGCCCGTGCGTAAAACTCATAAAACGTTTATTTTTAAAGCTTTTTCGGCACAACTCAGTGGCTTGTTGACATTATCGCGAGGGTATTTTATTGTCTTTCTCTCCCCTCTGTCCGCACACAACACCTCCCCAGGCACTGCAGCCCCCCCGGGGCGCGCAGCCATTCGGCTCGCAGATAACGCGCCATTCCCTCTTCGATTACGCAGCGGGATTTACATGAAACTGTTAATTGTTTGCTCTTCAAATAGTCAGCCTGGAGCCAGAACTTAAGGACCGACTCTTTGACCACCTCCCTCTCCCCTCCTCCCTCTTTGTGCTCTTTCTTTCGGTTTGAATCAGCATGACAAAGCAGCAGCCGGTGCAGAGCCTCCTGGATGGCACCACCCGTTCCGTCCCGCCACCTTGGAGAGCGTCACGAACATCACCTTGACTTCCAGGGGAAGAAGAATGCGCAGCGGAGCTCTCCTTCCAGAGGCGCAGCGCGGAGCTCAGCAGGCCCGGTTCAAATGGCTCCACAGCAGCCGCCGCGCCTGGAGGACAACCCGGCGCTCTGCGACGCCCAGATGGAGCAACACAGTCACACCCAGGACGCACGGAGCGCGGAACAGGAGAGGAGCAGCGGAGGGAGGATAAAGAGCTACAAGCGGTATCCAAAACCACCGTACTCCTATCTGGCCATGATCGCCATGGTCATCCAGCGGTCTCCAGAGAAGAAGCTGACATTGTCCGAGGTAAACACTGCAGCGCATGAGTTTTACGCACGGTTTCAAACTTCACTTTTCCCCTCACATTACAAGCAGTGTTGTATATTACCAGGAGAACTGTCCGAACTGCACGTGCGCGCAGATAGTTGCCAGAGCTGACGCTACACAGCCCCCTGAGTGTGACATTAGGTGACCATCCATTGTTGGTTTGCTTTGATAAGCCTGAGCTGCGGTGAAACCAGACACTGATCTGTATCAGAGCTGTGATTAGATTTACAGTAAATGCTCCCCCAGTTAGATAAAAAAAATCTAACAGTGGAACAAGTCGTGCATGACCTTCCTGTAAACTTATTAAAGTGTTTGGATCTGACAGCAGTTTTCATCCTTGTGTTTTGTTTTCAGATCCTGAAGGAAATCAGCACCCTCTTTCCGTTTTTCACAGGAAACTACAAAGGTTGGAGGGATTCTGTGCGTCACAACCTTTCCTCTTATGACTGCTTTGTTAAGGTTTGTATGTTTTTAATGTGCGTGTTTGTTTGCGTTGGCTCAATATCTCGTAAACTGGATGGAGTTGAGCAAAATTCTCAGAAAGTAGCGGTAATCACTTTTTGAGAAAAGTAACCTTAAGGAAACTCAGCCAACACAAAAGTTATAATTCAGAATAATTGTTATTGTGCTAAAGTTTGGAGTGGTGGTAGCTGAGATGGATCCCCATTTTATTCCTTATATTGTAATAATAATAATCTCATGATTCACTTCTGCAGCTCATCTTTTAAGATGGCTCACTCTTAGTCAACACAAAATGGGTCAGTTTAGCAGATATTGAGCTAAAACCTGGTGTGGTAGTAGCTGACAGTGATCCTCAACATACTTCAAGGCGGCGGGTGATATGCATCACTTCAAGGAATGTTGGGCCTTTGTTTAGTCTTGGATGTGTAGCACATTTGGGGATGGACCTGTTCTTATCTTTCATCCTGATGGGTATTTGTGGAACTGGTCTGACCAGAACTCATGACCCTGTCCTCCCCCAGGTGCTCAAGGACCCGGGCAAACCTAAAGGAAAAGGGAACTTTTGGACGGTGGATCTGAGCCGTGTCCCGCTGGAGCTCCTGAAGAAGCAGAACACGGCCGTGTCGCGCCAGGACAAGACCGTCTTCGTTCAGGATCTGGCCCCCTACATCCTGCAGGGGTACAAGACAGACTCTGAGCCCCTCGCTGATTCTGTCACCTCCCGCTCACCCGTGCGCTCGGGGGACCCCTCGCCGCCACAGGGGGACCCGTCGCCACCCAAGCTGGAGTTGTCCTTCACCATCGACTCCCTTCTGCACAGCCTGCGGCCTTCTCCTGCGTCTGGAGATGGAGAGGTGGCTGCCGGGGACTGCTGGGGGGAGACGGAGCGCCCTTGTTACGCCTCCTCGGCCCGCGGTGCCTTGGTCAGCTCTGTGAGCCCCCCCACATCCACCTCCTCCTCCTCTGACGAGGAATGGAGAGGAGCGCAGCCCCCTGCGAAACATCTCCTTCCCTACTTTGAGTCTAGATCGGATGTTTATGGGGATTACAGGCCACCGCTGCAAAAATCTTCCAGGCAGGAGACTTTTGCCCCCCCCTGGGAGCTGCCTACTTCCTATTCAAAGTATGCTCCCCCCAACGCTGTTGCCCCACCCAGCATGCGGTTCACCGGAAGTCCCTTGATACCCCTGCATGGTGGACTACCTCTTTACAGCTACAGCGGCTCTCCTTTGGCACCCGGTCACTTCCTGGGTCCCACCTACTGGCCCCTCCTCCCCAGCAGACCGGCCTCAGTTCCACCCCCTCCTTTACTCATGGACCTGGACCGCATGTTACAGTCTGTGCCTCCCAATAAAAGCGTTTTTGATGCGCTGCTGCCACCGAGTCAGAACTCGTACTCCCTTCCCCAAGCACCGAGTCCGTACGGCCTGCAGAGCGGGGCTCCACTGACCCGGTACCATCAGTTCTGAGCACCTGGACTCCAGTCAGAAACAGACTCGTGATCCGGTTTAGATCAACGTTTCCTCTGCAGCCTATGACACAATATTTGTCTTTCATCTCAGAAGAAGTTGATTTTTCTTCATTATATAAAAATGCAAACGGTTTTATTCGTGTTTTAAACTTGATTTGATGCAAATGTGACAAAAACAATCTTCAGGGTGGAGCGGGACGCGGTTCCACTGAATCCAAACTACCTCAGCTATATGACGCAACAGATATCTACCTCAGTGTTTCAGTGGAACTGTCCGGCGACGCTCTTTGCACTGCGGATCCGTTTGCACAGTTTGTTTTTGAATGTCTTTAAGTGTTTGCCCAAAATGACGGCTTGAATGTTCTGTGTGAATTTACCAGAGGAACAAACGGCTGCACGGACGGTTGCAGCAAGTTTAAGCTTTAAAAAAAAAAAAAAAAGCCCAAACTTTTTGCAGGTATTTGCCCAGAGTGAATTGTTCTATTTGATTTATACAGAAACTAAAATCACTAACAAAGATAGTTTTAGTAGTTTAGACCGTGTCAGCACAATGTATTGCTCATGTTTCTGCGATGTTTCAGCAGGTCTGAGCGTTAGTTTTGGTTCTACTGTTAGTTTTGTTGACCCTGCTTGTTTTGTTGCTTTTTAAATTTCACATTTTTCATCTCTTCAGTACGAAATGTGTCCAAACGCTGCACAATCTGTACTTTTGGTTGGTCGTAGCTTACGTGACGCTGGAGATCTACCTCAAACTGCAAGTTCTCTCTAAGAGATCTTCAGACATGGACCGCTGAATGTTTTAGCCTTTTGTGGCCTTGATGAAGTCACCGGTACTGAACTGACTGACAACTCGTGTGGGAAGTGAAGCGGAAGTTTTTGAAGTTCAACAGGGTTTTATAATATTGTTTAGCAATGCTGTTTAGTCATATGTGACAATATACGTTTTGCAATCACTGTCTTGTATTTGGTTGATTTAATTTGACCATTTTAACCCAGAGACCTTGTGCTTGTCAAATAAACTGACCAAACATGGAGTTGTTTACAGGCTGGATGACATCTTGGTTCAAAGTAAACACAAAACCTGAACTCAGCAGCCGAACAAACAAAAGCAAACTGCAGCAGCAACACGGAAAAGTTCACTTTAATAACGCAAACCCTTCCTGTAGGGCTGTCAGACAAATGCTGCAGAAGAACTGAGTGGAGCAAAGTTTAAAAATCACAATTTATTTCTAATAATTATTTTCAGCTGGTGCGTATAATCAGCCGGAGTTCAACTGAAGGCCACGCGTTCTGATTTAGGTCAAGCTGGAAGAGCTTTCAGTTCTTTTCACGTTCAGTAATAGTATCTGGGCTCATAGAGGATCATTTGTTTTTGTTTTCCAGTCATGAAGTGGTTTTAACTGGGCTCTCTGACACTGCAGCACGTTTCGCTCCCAACGCCTCGGCCGTCCTGAGATTTCATCGTACCCTGAACAGATTCAAGGGTCCTCATGCCAGACGCACCAAAGCAGACCCAAAAGAAACCAGAGCACCCTCCATGTTTCACTGTAGGTACGGTGTTCCTGTACTGTAAACTACGGTGGCCCTGAGGTGTAAATGAACAACATTTGAAAAATTTGAATTAAAATTGAAAAAAATAGAATCAAAAAAAAAAAAAACGGAATTACATTAAGCCAAAGCGGAAGTGACTGGAATCACGTTTGAAAAAAAAAAAAAATTTACATTTGAAAAAACAATCATTCAAAAATTATATAATTTCTTTTTTTCTAACGTGATCCCGTTTTTTCAAATGTAATTCCAGCCACATCTGCTTTGTCTTAATGTAATTTGTTTTTTCCAAATGTCGTGTTTTTTCAAATATTGTACATTTGCACCTTGGGGCCACCGCAGTAAACATCTAGCTGACGCGACTGAAACCAAAAAGCTCTTTTTTGTTTTGTTGGTCTCAGAAACTTTGTGGCTAATCAACATGCGTTTGGATTATTTCCAGTTTGTCTGCTTCGTGTTTTTCTGTTAATATTGGAGACCACCCAGGTCGTTTTCCACTGAGCCCATTGTGAATAAAACCGATGGTGCGACGAAACTTGACCAAGGAGTTCATTTTGAATGATTCTGGATGGTTTCCTTGGCGTTTTACACCACACTGCTCCATCTATAATCAACCTGGGGTCGCATGTCTTCTTGCGTCCACATCTTAGGAGGTTGGCTACTGTCCCGTGAACCACCCAACTTAATAATTTTCGCAGCTATGGTCAGAGGAACATGGAAGTTGCTCGTAGCCTGAGCTCCTCAGACAACTCGTCTGTTTTTCCTGCTCCATATTGAATGTGGTGAAACTACCCAGCGGTTCGGTTGTCCCTTTAAATAAGGACAAGCTTGATGAACACGTCTACAATTCAACAAATATTTTCTCTGTAAGGGTACCAACAAATCTGTTCATACTGTCTCAACGTGTCTGTAAAGCACGGTTTATTTTCACAATTATCACAAACTATAAAGACGCGCAGATTTAAACTAGAGAATCGTTCTACAACTTTTCAGGAGAAGGGATGCTCCATTGAGCTGCAACGGTACAAAACTGTTAACTGTTGCTAAAATCCAGGGTCCAAAGGGATGTTGGTGTGATCATGCAGACGCTTCATGCACGATGAATGCAGCTGAGCTCTCAGGGTTGCCAGATAAAATAAAAAATGGCTTATTTACCTCCTTTTCTGTGCACATGTTCAACAAACACACGCGTCATCTTAAAATATTTTTACTCAACACATACGACACTTTAGGTCAAAATACTATCATTTTAAAGCCACAGTACTATAGCTCATAATTTCTTATCTGGCAACCCGACCGACATGGAAACTACAGCATTTTCCTGTAAACCCTCTTTTTCTTTTTGATTATCCCCAATAAAACTGAAAACGTTCTTTTGAAGTTTGTCAGTTGATGCTCGTCCTTCCTCCGCTTCACTTAATGAAAGCTGTTCTGATTTCCATCAGCAGTCCTGCAGCCTCCTGCTGTGCCACTATCTGCATCAGCTGCATGCCTGCACTTCATCATCCTAAAGACGGAGGAGGGGACACCATTTACAGTTTTCACCCCCCCAACACACAGGAATGCTGCTGGGTGGGACTACCTGTCATGTATGAACATTGCACTCGTGCAAATGGGTCTCACGAGGGGTCATCGACCCTCGTGTTGCTTTTCATTACAGTTACAGTAAAGTAATGTTTTCTTACATGATTTTTATTAAACTGATTTGTTTAAAAGGACTAACACTGTAGACAAAACGGTTTTAACTTTACGGTTTAGCTCAACGCTCGTGGGGTTATTTGTTCGCAGGACATGAACGCAGACCAAAACATTATTTATCCCAACAACAACGTTCTTATCGTCCCACACCCAGAAAAGGTCTCGTGAAGTGAACGTTTACTCTTGAGAAGGAACAAAAGAGGACACTTTGTAGAAAACAACAAAAGCCCACACAATGAGACGGTGCCACTAGAAACAGGAAGTTTAGTTAAAACAGATTAGCAGCTGCATCACATGACTTTTTATTTTTATTTTTTACCAGTTTGTGCTTCAAACTACAGCGATGTAATGCCCCTGACTTTAAACTCTTCTCTTTGTGCTTCTCCTCTGGCCTTTAATTTTATTTGGGTGTGTTTTATACCCCCTCCTGAGCCATTCTGTACTCGAAGATGCTCCCCCTCTCTGGGAATGTCTCGTTCAGGCGCCTTCGTTTTGACCGAGGCGTCCCCCCCTTCGCTCCCTCTTCTCCATACCCACCTCCTCCTGGGGTGTAGAGGCAGAACATGTCCTGCAGGGGGAGACAAAAATACAGTTTATTTAAAAAGAAGCAAACTAGACTAATTGAAATATGTGGTATTTTGGCTCTATGTAAATGTATGACTGAGTGACCTTTTCTGGTTTTTACATCTTAGAGATGGTTCAAGACTTTTGCACAGAGCTGTACAATCCCTTGAAAATCTATTTGTGCCCCGGGAACATTTCCACATTTCCTTACGTTACAACCACAAACTTCAACGTAGTTTACTAGTATTTTATGTAGTAGTATTTGGATTCAACAGCTCTCGGTCAGTACTACAGATTTTTGCTCCTGCGTTGTAAAATATTACGACGGGACGGGACGGGGAGCGTCTGAACAGAAACTTCTTCCCAGATTAACAATCGGATTTAGGTCATCTGGACTTTGACTGGGCCAATCTGTAAATATGACCACTTCCTGTTTATCTTGAGAGGTTTACTGCCCCCCAGGGCTCATATCAGTCTCACCCCTGGCTGGAGGCTGATGCTGGTTTTGGCTCCCAGGTTGAGGACTCGTCCATCAGGTCTGTGGAGCAGGTTCAGTCCTGCGGCTCCGTCCTCACCGCCTGACCACCGGAGACAGAAACACCGGTCCATGACAAACTCCTCACCTTTCAAACAGGTTAATATGAACATTCAGTTGTGGGAATTACCCATCAGCCCATAGGGGCGAGTGGCCCGCCTTTCCGTCAGGACAGACAGAACCACCTCGTTCCTGAACAAGAGTTTACGAATCACGCCGTCTCCGCCGCGGTACCTCCCTGCACCTCCTGAGCCGGGCCGCAGCGAGAAATGCTCTAAAATCACCGGATACCTGAGCAGGTGGACAGCAGCGACACGGTAGAGACGAATAATCACAAATACGAACAAACATTTAACTAGAGAAACTGCACTGCCTGCAAAAACACAGCGTGAATGCTTATTGTTGAAGAACTTGCTGAAAAACAGCCGAAATTAGCTAAAAAAACAAAATGCTGAAATGAAAGAACAATCATAAAAAGCAGAAAGAACATATTTGTGGAATTAATAAAAAAGGAAAAAAATGAACACAAAAAGTAGAATAGTAGCTAAAGAAAAGCTGAAATTAGCAAAAAATAAAAAAATTGCTGAAAAGCAGAAAGAAGCTAAATGTTCCAGAAGGAAGCAGAAAGAGCTGAAATGAGCTAAAAAAAATGTGGAATTAGCATAAAACAGCTAAATAGTAGCTGAAATAGCAGAAAAAGTTGAAACTAGCAGAAAAAAAGCAGAAAGGAGCACAACAAGCTTAAAATAGCAGAAATTAGCACAAAGAAAATGAACTTATTTAAAAAAAAGCTGAAATTACAAAAAACAACAGCTGAAAAGTAGCTAAAAAAAGCAGAAATACATATTTACTGAATTAATTTAAAAAAAGCAGAAATGAGCACAAAAAGTAGGATAGTAGCTAAAGGGAAGCAGAAAGAGCTGAAATGAACTAAAAAAAAGTGGAATTGGTTGTAAAAGCTCAAATTAGCATAAACAGCTAAATGGTAGCTGAAATAGCAGAAAAAGTTTAAACTAGCAGGAAGAAAGCAGAAAGGAGCACAACAAGCTTAAAATAGCATAGGCTGAAAGTCGCAGAAATGACCACAAAAAAATTATATTCATCTGAAAACAGCTGAAATTAGCTAAACAATGTTGAAATGGTACAACAATCTTAAATTAGCAGAAGAAAGCTGAAAGAACATGTTTGCCCAATTAGGCTGAAAGAAGCAAAAATGAGGACAAAGAAGAGGAACTTATTTGAAAAAAAGCTGAAATTACAAAAAAAAAAAGCCGAAAAGTAGCTAAAAAAGCAGAAAGGAACTTAAATTTCCAGAAGGAAGTGGAGAGAGCACATTTATGATGAATTAGATAGAAAAAAGTTTAAATGAGTGCAAAAAATGTGGAATTAGCTGAAAAAGCTAACATTAGCATAAAACAGCTAAATAGTAGCTGAAATAGAAAAAGCTGAAACTTGCATAAATAAGCTGAAAGGAACATAGGAAGCTGAAAATAGCTGAACAAAGTTAGAAGAAGCACAAAAATGTTGTTGTTGGCAGAAAGAATCTGAAAGCAGCACAAAACAGCTGAAAGTAGCTGAAAAAAAAGTTAAAATTTGCAGCAGGAAGCTGAAAGAAGCAGAACAAAATGTGAAAGGAGCAGAAAAAGGCTGTAAACACATCTAAAGATCTGAAGGAGGTAAAATGAGCTCAATTCATTTTCTATGAGGAAAAAACGTCAGAAAAGGCTAAATATTTGTCACAAAGCTAAAGTTGCACCAGCACCAAAAGTCACAGCCTGAAAGAGCCGAAAGTTTTCTGATTTGTTGAATTAGATGAAAACTGTGGAAGGAGAAAGACGCTTACGGGACACGACTGATTCAGACCTTTTCTCTAAAATCTCCGGGTCAGTGATGCGGGTGTTGGTCATGTGGGAGTGCACGCCGCTCCGCCCGTCCCATCCGGGTCCCGCTCCAGCTCCGCCAGCCACCGTCTCATAATACCCGAGCTTCTCGCTGCCGAACGAGACGTTGTTCATGCAGCCCTGACGGAGCGGACGTCAACAAAAGTCTTGACGGCTCTTAGACGTTTGAAACTGGATGTATGAGACGCACCGTTACCTGCGAGGCAGCGCACGCCTCAAACGCTTTAAATATGACGTCCACCACCCTCTGGGACGTGAGCACATTTCCTCCCACCACAGCTGCATTCTGGGACGGCTGCAGGATGGAGCCGCGGGGAATGATGACTTTGATCGGAGCGAGACATCCCTTAAACACAAAACACAGTTCAATGTCTGAGAAACGTTGTGATGCTTATCTGATGAGGCTGCAACAACTTCAGTATGTTTGTGAATAACTCTCAGCTACTACCACAGATTTCAGCTATGTATGGCCATGTTTACGTAGGCTAAGGTCAAATAGCTGTGGCAGCCATCTTCAATGGGGTGACTCTAAAAGTTAATCAGTTATGGGTGAATATCTAATAATTAATTTCCAAAAGTTTCCTTCAAATCCGTCTAGTGGTTCTTGAGATATTTTGCTAACAGACACACAGGTTGACTCCAACAGTTAATGCCAAGGTTTTAAAGTAAATATTTTTCCAGTTTGTTGCACTTTCTGTTGGAGAGGAGTTTCAGCGACTACCACACAAAAGTTTAGCTCATTATCTGCAAAATTAGCTGCGTTTTAGCTATTTTTGTGGTTTCGCACATCCGTTGGCTGCGGCAGCCATCTTGAATTGGGTTGAGCCCAAACGGTAATCAGTTGTAGAGGCCAACCTAATGATTACTTCCTAAAGGTTTGATAAAACTCCATCCTCTGGTTCATGAGATATTTTGCTAACAGACATCAGTGACAGTTAATGGTTAAGATTATGTGTAATCAGTTAGAGCTCAGAGTCTTTGTTGGGGATGACTCTCAGCTATTATCCTAATTTCATATCAGTATTTGTAAAACTGACTGGGTTGTAGCATTTTTTGCGTTTGGTAGAATCGTGTTGCTGCAGCGGCCATCTTGAATTGGGCTGGCTCCAGCAGGTGCACGGTTGTCAAATCAGTGGGAATCCATGAAGTGATATTTTGCTAACGGTGCAGACAGACAGACCCTCTCTGGTCGTCTTGAAGCACCAGCTGAAGGTCGTGCACCTGGTTGAGGGGGATGTCCTGGCCGACCATGCAGCGCAGGCAGTAGATGAGGGCCGACAGGGTGATGGCCCGCGGGGCGTTGCAGTTCCCCCACACTTCGGTTCCCGTCCCGGTGAAGTCGAACACCGCGCTGCCCTGCAGCAGCAGAGGATTTTATTAAAACAAGGTCCCGTTTTCAAACCGATCATCTGCTCCTGCTCACCTCGTCCTCGTTAATCTGAACCCGCAGTCTAATCGGCGTCCCGTTGTCCATGAGGTCTTCGGACTCCACCTCCAAGGAGTCGGTCTGCCGCCGCCGCCGCCGTGCAAACTCTTTAAGCATGTCCCTCACCGCCAGCTCAGCGTTACTCTGGAACACCCGCCACATTAAAGCTGCACTTTCACAATAAAAGCGCTACTGTAAAACAAGTGCTCGTTTTATTTTGTAGGCACCTGGATGTACCCCATGTACGCCTGGACCACGGCGAGGCTGTACGTGTCGATCAGCTCCCCCACCAACTGGCTGCCTCTCTGATTGGCCGCCACCTGCGCCCGCAGATCCGACAGGTTGTCGTGGAGATTACGAGTCCCAGAGCAGCCGGGGTGCTGAGCCGGAGCCATCAGGGCTTCAGTAACGGCTGATATGGACAGAAGAGGAAGAGATGAAGCCAGTGGCCATCAAAGAGATGAGAGACGTGAGGGGAGACACCGGAGGCGGGGGGGGGGGGGGGGAGCCCAGGGGCTAAACCTGGTTCTGTGTGGTCTTAAGGTTCTCAGCAGCTACGCTTACATGGACACAAGTACCATATTTTTCAGCCGAGATGCGACGTATTTATGTTTTTTCCACTTTATTAAACATATTTGGACTGAAGCGACCTGTACGGACGAAAATACAGTAATCAGATTAAACAGCCATTCAGAATAAAAATGCGTCATGTAAACACCCCATTCAGATTATTTTTTGTTGCTGCAGCTTGATCTGAATGAATGTTTAATCAGAATGAGAGGGGTGGTTTATGCCGATTCATAATCTGAACGGTGTGCATGTAAACACTTAATCTGATTATTTTATTGTGATTGTTGAAAACTGACCTGACTGCGCACGTGCGACATGTCAACCTCATGCGTTTCCGCCTGGCTAATGCTAATAATATTAGCATGTCGGGGAAGCAACATTGGTCGTTGAGCGACAACATTTCTAGCAGAAACTCTGAAAGAGCTCAGAATAATCTGTGTCACCTGCAGCTCAGTCAGGGAGTGCAGCAACGTCTCCACCGTCACTAAAACCTGTCGCGGGTCCATTTTGGGCGCTCAGGTTTGTTTACGTTCATCACGGAAGTAAACCGGAAGTAGAACTTCTTCTTCTGTGATTTTTTTTAAGGAGAGTTCACCACTCTGCACGTCAGTACTTCTGTTCAGAATAAAAGCCGCTGCATGTAAACGCTCGTCATGAACAGATTGCGCCCATGTAAACGATACATTCGGATTATTTAATCTGAAAACATTTCAATCCGGTCAAATAATTTTGCACATTTAAACAGCTATTGAGAAACTCAACAACTAACTTACTCGTGATCCAAACCATAAAGAAGAGCGGACACACAAACGTTTCTGCATCCTCTGCTGCGAGTACAAACACTACCGTCAAAGTATTTTGTCGTCAAAGTATTTTGTCGTCACAGTATTTTGTTGTCACAGTATTTTGTCGTCACAGTACTGTAGTTTCAGCTTTTGAATCGTTGTTTCTGAACTCTAAGTGGGACTCCAATGTCAGATTTTTCTCACCATACCCAGTCTCAAAACCCAACATGGCTTCCTCGCACATGAAACGTGACAGGGTGAACATGAATCTTTCATATGGTCAGTTCATGCTGTCACACTGTTAGCGCACACAAAATGCAGAGAAATCTAATGACCTTCCTCCTGGAAGACTCCTCGGCTGACGAGCTTAAAGGAAATGAAGACTGCGCCCTCCTGCTGAAGGGAAGTGGAGTGGGGGGGCATGGAGCCTGGGGTGATGCCTCCGATGTCCGCATGGTGCCCCCTGCTGGCTACAAAGAACACTGGACCCTCCACTCCTTTTCTAAACACCTGAGATGGAACAGCGGGGTGGGGTCAGGATGCAAGAACATCACAAAAGGAATGACGAAGGAGACAGATGGGCAGCTGACCGGCGTGATGGTGGTGAGGTCTGGGAGATGGCTGCCTCCGGCACACGGGTGGTTGCTCAGAATCACATCCCCTTCTTCCAGCTTGTTCCCCAGTGACCTGATCTTTAGGAAACAAACAGGAAATACAGCATCCACCTCGCCGTGTTCTCCACAGCATCAGCACGTACGTCCCTCACCTGGTACTGGACGGTCTCCTGCATGGCGCCCAGATGGACAGGGATGTGGGGCGCGTTGGACACCAGACCACCATCAGGTCCAAACACAGCGCAGGAGAAGTCCAGGCGCTCCTTGATGTTTGTGGAGATGGAGGTTCTCTGAAGCACTCTGCCCATTTGCTCTGCAGTGATTCACAGAATAAACTCAAAAGTTCTGACAGCTGATTGGACCGGTTTGTTTTTCGGCGTTGGCGTACCGGCTATGCTCATGAAGCGGTGGGAGAAGATGGAGAGCTGCACGGTGTTGAGCTCGGTGCTGAGGACGCACTGATGGTCAGAACCTACAGTCAAACAGACGTCGCCCCTTTCTGTCAGACGGGCCTCACAGGACGGCTCCACCAGGATGGTGCTAAGAAAAGACCATGAATAAAATAAAAAACTAAAAGAAAACTATCTTGAAGAGGAAAATAGAAAAATATTTAGCGAGAGAGTTCATATCTGGACATCAGGAAAAGAAAAAAAGAGGTGAAGAAGAGAGTCCAGGCAGGATGGAGTGGATGGAGAAAAGTTTCAGGAGTGATTTGTGACAAAAGGTCAAAGGAAAAGTTTACAAGACAGTGGTGAGACCAGCTATGTTGTAAGGTCTGGAGACAGAGACATGGACAAAAAGGCAGGAGACAGAACTGGAAGTGGCAGAAATGAAGATGTTGAGGTTCTCCTTAGGAGAGACAAGGATGGAGAAGATCAGGAATGAGATCATCAGAGGTACAGCACAGGTTGGACAACTGGGAGATAAAGTTAGAGAGGACACACTGAGATGGTTTGGACATGTCCAGAGGAGGGACAGTGGTTTGGACATGTCCAGGAGGGACAGTGGTTTGGACATGTCCAGGAGGGACAGTGGTTTGGACATGTCCAGAGGAGGGACAGTGGGTATATTGGTAGAAGGATGTTAGAAATGCAGCTGCAGGAAAAAGACAAAGAGGAGACATATGGATGCAGTTAGAGAGGACATGGAGGTAGTTGGAGTGAGGACAGAGGACAGATGGAGGAGGACTCACTGTGGAGAGTTCCCTGAGGAGGGAACAGCTGAAAGAACAACAAGGACAAGAAGAACAAGAACAAGGACAAGAAGAAGAAGAACAAGGACAACAAGAATAAGGACAAGAAGAATAAGAACAAGAAGGACAAGAACAAGGACAAGAAGAAGAAGAACAAGGACAAGAATAAGGACAAGAAGAATAAGAACAAGAAGGACAAGAACAAGAACACTGTCAATCAGCAGAAAAGACTCGCCTGTTTTTGTCTATGATGATGGCCGGTCCTTGGATGCTGCGATCACACGGCAGCTCCTCCCATAGATACACACCAGTGTCCAAATAACCATTCTCAAAATAACATTTTGTCATCTGCATAGAGGAACACCCACAAGTATGATCTGATCACATTTCCTTAAAATATACAGATGTTGTAACGAGAAGACGAAATTCATCTTGTGAGATTTAAGAAAAGTTTCATTTGTTCTGCAGATGAGGCGGTTTACCATGACAGGTTTGGCTTTCCTGTCTTCCATCTTTGGTTCATACACCGACTGGATGCCAGATTTCCCACAACCCCTCACTCTGATGTCATCCACCACGATGGGTCTGTCTGGGATGGTAAATCCAAACTCCTTCATGTAACTGAAGATAAAAAGTTTTGGGGTTAAAATAGAAAGAGTTAAACCAAGAGTCGGTTACAGACACAAACTGGACTCAGCAAACCGTTTGGTGAAGGCGGCGTGGAAGTCGCCAGCTCGACACGACTTGGCGTTGCCAGGGTAACCAGCAGCGGTGACCATTAGAGCGCAGTCGGTGCCTTCGTAACGCAGGTGGAGAAAAACCTCAGTGGTTATCTGACCACTGAGGAGGACAAGAACGGCCGTTTTAGTCCTCAAATACAATTGAAATATTCAGCATATACTAAGTTAGTGTTTAAAACTCTGTTTTAAAGGCTAATTTGAAATTAGCAATCTGTTAGCGCTTAGATTATGTGTTGTGGATGACTCGGCTACGACCACACCACGTTTTAGTTCAAAATCTCTAAAAATGACCCCCGATTCGGTCGCTTCTCACCTCGTGAAGCCCCGCCCACGGAGCGTGTCGTGGCAGCGCTCGGAGAGCTGCTCCATCCGGCGGTCGAGCTCGCCGAAAGACTTCTGCTCGTACCTGAGCGAGCACGGCTCCTGCACCTCCTCCACAACATCTGCTAGAGCCAGACCGTACGCAGACAGCACGCCGCTGTACCTGCAAACCACAGACAACAAACCGCTTCTAGCTACTGCTCTGAAACTACCCCCCCCCCCCCCCCCAATCTGCTTTACTTATGTATGAAGACAGTCTTCATGCCCAGGGCTCGGGCGATAGCACAGGCATGCTGGCCACCTGCACCCCCAAAACACGCCAACACATGCTGAGAGGTGTCATGACCCTTGGCCTGTGGAGATGCAAGATGTTGGGGGGGGGAACAGGATAATTTTAAAATAAAGAACAACAAAGACAGAGATAAAAAAAAGAGAGCTGAATGACCTCACTGAAATTTGCTAACAATTCTGAAACTTGCCAAAAGTAGCTAAATGCTAACTAAAAAGCTAAAAGCAACATCAGGCTAGTTAAAAGCATTAAACAGTTTTCAACTTTCAAAAGGCTAGCTTGAAGCTAAAAGGACCAGAAGAGTAAAAGCAACAAAACGGCTATCTAAAAGCTAACAGTAGCAAAAGGCTAGCTAAAAAAGTAAAAGTAGCAGAATAGTCGCTAAAAACTAAATGTGGCATAAAACAAAAATAACACCCATTTACTGAAGCAGGTTTCCAAGAGAACAATGTTTCTGAAATAAATAATGTATATGCATCTTTAAAGGTGGAAAAAAAAAAGATGGAAGTTACAAAAGTCGTGGCATTTATCTCCTGAATGAGCTAAACGTTTGAATAAATGAAGATCTAAATGGGACAAAGTGCACAGACGTGGTGAGACTGCATTAATGTACATAAAAAATAAACGGTGTTTTGAAACAGCGTTCACACACCTGCGTCAGAGCTCTGATTGGTCGACACATGGCCTCGTTAGCGACACGAACGAACCCCATAGCAACCTCCTCCAAGCTCATCGCTGATTGGCTGTTTGGCACCACGCTGTCCTGTGATGTACTGGTCCCATTTGCTTCAACCTTCAAATAAAAACAGATAAATCATAAACATGTTTTATTTACTGCCTCAGAATGACAAAGATCGTTTCAGTAAAGGTCGGCGCCTGTGATTGGCTGGAAGACAGGAAGTGGTTGATGTCGTCAGTGAGCTGATGGAAATGCTTCATCGTGTCCTCCAAGGACAGGGGCTCATCCTCTGCTGGTCCAAAGATTTTTGGGAAGAAGGAAGGAAGGAGGCGCCCCAGAGCCAGGTTGGCATCAGTAACAGTCAGAGGACCTCCTAGAAGACCACAGAACCGATCAGACCAGTGACGTCAGTTCAAGTGTTTCTGTTAGCAAAATAAAACCACTGGAGGGATTTTATTGAAACAAAAACCTCCCCGTGGAGCTGTTACTGGTTTGTGTGAGTTTGGGCTCAGAGAAGTGAAACGTGCGTCACCTTTTCTGTAGCAGGTCGGTCCTGGATGTGCACCTGCAGACTCCGGTCCAACAACAAACATCCCCGATCTAAAGTTTTAAACAGTGGTCAGAAAAATCAAAGTGCAACCCTCCGTCAATCAAGTGCATTTTAAACTAATAATATATTTAATGAACATTCAGAGTAAATTTAAGTCACAACTGTTGATTGCAGTTTAATTAGTCATCTTCCACCGTCCACAGTTCAGATATCATACTCTGTAAATGACTTCCATCAGAAGTACGCATGACGTTCACTGTAAAAATCAGTGTTTCTGAAAACACTTCATCTCGAGGACAAAACAACTCCTTCGTTCTGTAAAATATGGAAACCACTCAGACGGACCTGAAAAAGAGTCGGGATCCTCCTCCTGCGGCCACAGTGTTGATGTCCAGCTGAGGCGCCTGCAGGGTGACTCCTGCTGTCGTGGCCTCGAACACGTGCTCGTACTGACCGGCGTATCGACTCACGTCGGTGGAGGTTCCTGCGGGGAAATGCACAACAATCAGGGGGACAGAAAACATGACGGGTCGGCCCTAATCTGTCCCAACACCCCCCAAAACGTGCCAGAGAAACACAATCAACAGCTGTGGTTATGAAGAAAAGCATCGCTCACCGCCCATGTCGAAGCCAATCACAGGCTTTCTCTCCATCTGGCTGCCGGAGGTGATGGCGTACCCCACCACACCCCCTGCTGGGCCCGACAGAATGGCTCGCGAGCCGCAGAACTGCTCCATGGGAGTCAGACCTCCATCGGACTGCATGAACAGAACGTCCACGTCCTGGAAACGAGGGGTGGAGGTATTCAGAGCACATGTAGTTTAAAGGGCCACTGGTTTGCGACACACACCTTCAGTTCCCCCTTAAAGCCAGAGGTGAAGCCTTCTAAATACTGGTGGATCTTGGGTGTGAGGTAGGCGTCAGCGCAGACCGTGTAGCCGCGAGGGACGGCCCGCACCATCGGCATCACCTCGCTGGAAAGAGACACCTGGGTGAAGCCCAGACGACGGGCAAGAGAGCCCACGGCTTTCTCATGATCGGACCACCTGAAACAGGAGAGAAACGATTTAGAAGTTGAGAGAAGCAGGTGAAATTACCAAAATAAGAGCTCCAAACTGAGCTTTTACTTTGAAGCTTAAGTACTGACGTGTACGAGTGCAGCAGAAGAACCGCCACGCTGGTGATACCGCGGGACAAAACGCCTCTCAGGTCTTTCTCCACCTGATCCAGATCCAGTTCCTTCCACACCTCCAAGGACTCCCCCGTACTTCCTGAAAAACACAAACGGGTCGTTCTCACTGTGGATTATCCTCGCCCCTTTTAACAACAGTCTGTAAACATCGGAGAACTGAGGAACTAAGAACTTGTCTCTCGTAAGATTCTAGATGTTTGACAGATTTGGACTTGTTTGCACAATGTTTTTTGTTGGATGGGAGCATGCGTTGTACTAAAACCTATATTTTTCTGCACTGATGGTGCCTTTCATATGTATAAGAAGCCCACGACAGAGGCAGTAATGCACCCCCATACCATCAGAGAGGCATTATTTTGGACTGTGTGTTAATAACAGGCTGGATGGTCCTTCATCTCTTTGGTATGGATGTGGTATTTGTGGATCCACCAAACAGTTTTCCGTTTTGCGTCAGTCCATTTTAAACGAGCTTTGGTTCGGAGAAGATGGCCGCACGTCTGGTAGGTGTTAACATCGTAGCACTTAATTTACAGCCTTTTGTTGTTCCTATCTCAACTTTTTTTAGATGCGTTTATGTTGGTAAGTTCAATATTTTTTCTGAAATACTGCACTTTTTTGTTTCAACATTTTATAAGTTTGCTATGTTCCATAGTGAATAAAATAGGGGTTTATAGGATTTGCACATCATTGCATCAGTTTATTTACATTTCACATGTGAAGTGGGTGAAGATAATGGATTCAGTTCAATTCAATTCAATTCAAAAATACTTTATTAATCCCAAAGGGAAATTATTTGTTGTTGTAGCTCATCATCTTAGTTTCATTAGAGCTGTTCTAGATGCTGATGGCTTTAGGCAGGAAGGATCTCATGTAGCTGTCCGTCTCACAGCGGATCTGAAGAAGCCAATACGTCCACCCAGACCCAGCAGACCTCTCGGTCCTCTTGGGCAGTAAGACTGCCTGAATGATGGGCAGAACTCGTCCCCGAGCGACGGCCATTTCTCCCAGCAGCCTGCAGAGTCCCTCGTCACCGCAGACTTAACTGCAGGTGCTGTGGGATGATCTCGGTCCTCCCGCTGTCACGAGCTGTGTTTTCCACCACCTTCAAGATCTCGGTGGTTAGGCACTCGAGCACCGCCTCCAGGTAGATGGTAATGCATCTATGGCACCTCCTTTTCAACTCAATTGGCATTTGGGGCTGTAATTAAGATACTATTTGAGCTTTTGAGATGTTAATCAGCAGCTCCCAGTTGTAAAAACCACCTTGTTGTTATGGTTGCGCATCATAACAAATGTCCAAATGTAAAAATAGATTTCAGTAAAAATCCTTCCAGTGGCACAGCTCCTGATACCAGAGGAAGTAATCATCCGAAAAAAAAAACGATTTTACATCCAGAAAAAAAAAGAGTTTTCAAAAGCAAAATCTCAGAATGAATGTAAGAGAGCTACTCCAATTCTGAAACTGGATGGATGGATGTCCCAACTTCTTCCAGAAGTAAGTTTGTAGGTGACTGTGATCTTAAAAAAAAAAAAAGTAGATCTTCTACATACATTAAAAAACACTGTACGGTGCATTCCCACCTGTTACGACACGTTTGGGGTCTTTCCTTTGCAGCCGGCAGCCATCTTGCAGGAGGACAACTCGCTCATCCACCTCTATTACTTCTTCATACAGCACATCAGGCATAGCAACTTCCTGTCATACAAGTCACATGTTTCAATCACACAAGGTGTACCAACAGGAGAAACACAAGACACACAGCATGCATACTGGAGGTTTAAGAAGCTGCTAAAATCTTGTTCATATCAACCTTCAAATCTCCTGAAAATGTTAACGTTAGTCAAATAAATATAAAGTTTCTGATTTGACGGATTTGCCGTCTTTCTTTACAGTTTTGACATAGAGCTCCACGTCTGTTCATTTGAGTTGTTAATAGAACACCTGGTCGGGGGCAAACTCCAGAACCGGTCACCAGTTTCTGAAACACAAGCTAATGAATAAACCAAGGCTGCAGAGACACATGAGCAGACCACGTCCAAACCAGAGCTGCAGAATTAGAGAACGTTAGAAAAACCACAGACCAGGTCAAACAGCTTTGGTCTGGCTTGTGTGCCGATGTGCAGCAAGTCCTTGAAGCCCTTTGTGACCAGGAGTGCTGTCCTCTCTCCTTGTCTCTCCAGCAGGGCGTTGGTTGCCACCGTGGTGCCCATTCTGATCCAGCCAATCAGAGCGGTGTCTATAGGCTGATTACGAGGAAACGCTTGACCTGTTTCCTGTCAACAAAAGAAGAAGTGACGTAATGATCATTTTGTTTGGCTGTTGGTCCATAGGTGAGAGTGTGAGTGATCGTTTGTCTCTGTGTGTCCCTGTGATGGACTTGCAGCCTGTCCCGGGTGTCCCCCGCCTCACACACAGTGACTGCTGGACATGGACACCAGTGACCCGAAAAGGAAGAAGCTAGATAATAGATAGATAATGATCTATGATCTATAATACCTCCTCTAAGACTCTGCGGATCCCCTCTGTGGGAGCATCCTTGTAGTTCTGGGGGTCCCGGGACAGCAGCTTCAGGACCCGCTCCCGGCCGTCGGGCATCCGGGCGAACACATCCGTGAAGGTGCCGCCGCGGTCGATGGCAAAATCAAACTTCCCCAAAGTCTCAGCCATGATGGAGGAGAGCAGCTCCTGGATCTGTGGTCTGAGCTGCGCACGCTGCGGAAGAAGGAGAACAGGTTTCAGTTAAGGTGGTCAATGCAAAACAAACACTTTTTATGGAAAAAAGTTGTTTACAGTATTCTAGTGTTCTTTTTTGCTGAAGGGAGGAGACCCCACCTCACTGAACAACTATGGACCAATCTCTAAACTCTGCATTTTAGCCAAGGTTCTAGAAAAACTGATAAACTCTCAAATCAAAAATGACCTGGACTCATTTAACATCTTACCTCCACATCAATCTGGTTTCAGGAAACAACACAGCACAACCACTGCTTCACTGAAGGTTCTTAATGACGTTGTTGAAGCACTGGATGCTAAGGATTATTGTGCTGCACTTTTCTTAGACCTGTCTAAAGATTCTGACACTGTGGATCAGAACATCTTGTGTCATAAGATCTCAGAAATCAGTTTCTCAGAACACACCATTGGTTGGTTCTCTAACTATCTTTCAGACCGGAGGCAATGTGTTCAACATAATGGTACTTCCTCCAGTTATTTAACAGTCAACAATGGCGTACCACAAGGCTCAATCTTAGGACCCACCCTCTTTACAATCTACATAGGTAATGTAGGTAAAAACATCCCTGATGCATCCATACATTTCTATGCTGATGACACAGTTGTTTATTGTCGAGCTAAAACAGTTGCTAATGCTTTCCAGCTTTTGAAATCTGCATTCAACATCATCCAGACAGATTTGTTCTGTCTCAAACTTGTCTTAAACGCTGATACAGGAAGTCGGTCCCAGCAGTTCTTCCTCTGATTTTATCCTCAAATGGTGTCCCCCATTGAGTTTGTTGATTCCTATAAATATTTGGGTATCTTGGTCGACTCACATCTTTCTTTTAAGCTCCATGTGGAAAACTTGGTAAAGAAACTGAAAGTTAAACTGGGTTTCTTTTTCAGAAACAGATCCTGTCTAACCCTGAACCCTGAGGAACACCTTGTATCTGTGACTTTCCTTCCCTCCATTGATCACGGTGACATTATTTACATGAACGCTCCTACAAGAACCGTGCAGATGTTGGATGCTGCAGATGTTGGATGCTGCAGATGTTGGATGCTGTCTATCATGGTGCACTAAGATTCATAACTGGCTGTGATTATCGTACCCACCACTGCACCCAGTATCCACTGGTTAACTGGTCACCATTAACTTCACACAGACTCTCTCACTGGTACATCTTCATCTTTAAATCACTTCTTGGTCTGCTGCCTTCATACATCTCCTCCTACATGTCTCTGTGTGAGTGCAGCTACAGCGTGCGCTCTCAGGACATCATTACCTGCAGTGTTCCCTCAGTGAGGACTGAACTAGACAAAAGGACCTTCTCCTACTCTGCTCCTGTTTCCTGGAATATCTTGTAAAAAGATCTGAAGCTCTTGACCTTTGACCTCTCTAAGTGGCTTTAAGCATCTGTTGGACTCCTGGCAGGGACCGATGCAGACATGTTCCTGTTTTTAGTTTTCTACATTAACCTTAGAATCTAGATGTTTTTGATACTTTTTTTGGCCATCTTATTTGTATTAAAAAAGAGAAAAAAACCCTGTATGTATTTTTGTGATTGTCCATTGTTGTCATCTTTCTTTGTTAAATTCAGGTGTCTCTTGTAAAGGAGTCCTCGAGGCTCAATGGGATTAACCTGTATGAATAAAGGTTGAATTAATTTATGCTGAATCTCATGTCTCTGAACTAAAACGTGCAGATTATACATCAAAACTTCTTCGTCCTCTTCCACCCAATGAACCTCTCGTTGTTGCAGGGCTTATGGTTTACTCTCACATCAGCCCAGCATCACCAGTCTTCTGTGCTCATGGGTCGAGGGTTTAATAGTTTTCACACAGCAGCTGTGTTTGAGGCTTACTTTTCAGTCTGCCTCTGCATACAGAGCCACTGGCAGCAGCTTCAACATTCCATGAGTTCCTTTTTCTTCTTGTGCAGCTCAAATGTGACAATGTGTTTTTTTGTTTTACTTTAGATTATTTAAAAGTTAATTGATGACCTTTAGGTTTTTAATGGTCAGCTTTGAAGTCGTCCCACTGGCTGTTGTGTTCACGCGCACGCGCACATTTCTGTACCTTGCTCATGTAAACATTTTCTCATGCATGAAGTAAAGTAATCTCTGTCAGAGACTTGGACTTTGTGAAGCAGGAGACCCGTGCAGGAATGTTTCCAGCACGCCCGCCTCCACACGACAACAGATCCTGCAGCACCGAGTCCACACAGGATCGTTTTCATCCTGGAAAAACGGCACCGACACGTTTTACTCACCCGTATCCGCCCGTCGCTGCTGCACGCCGGCTGTGTGGTGATCTGATGACCCGAGAGGAGCCTGGTCTTTCTCCGACCTGCGGGTTCGACTGCAACAGAAAGGTCCGAGCTGGGTTTTAACTCCGCCCCTCTGGGTTTTAACCCCGCCCTTGTGAGGACGTGCTTGTGCTCAAACCAGAGCCCTATAAAGAGAGAGTTGTGACACTCTTTGAACTCGCCGATACGCGGTCACGTGGTTCATGCAGCTCCCCATAGTTCCAAACAGTTCATCCTGTCAGTCAGTTTGAGCAGCTGCTGGTGCAACATAACACAAAAATCTACTTTTCTTACTTTACCTGACGTTTTTCAGTAATTATTGAGCAGTAACGAACTGATTACTTAACTGATTACTGATTATTTCACAGACTATGCATTTTATCAAAGCATTTTTAGAAGCGGCTGATACATTTATCATTAAATTTTAGAAGGAAACGAGACTGCAAACACATATTTGTTAGAAAAAATGTATATGCAATACAATGATCAATATAGCCATGTCAGTGTTTTATAACGTTACACACGTTAAAGAAAGATCAGAGTAACTCCTGTTATAAAGCTGTTTCTGATGTTCTCTGCATGAGAATGCTCCACCTTGTCCTCCATGCAGCAGTTCAGATCTGCTCCAGCTTACCTTAGAACATCTGGATGAATTCTTGATTTATATTGAAGATATTAATTCAACCTTTATTTAAACAGGTTCGTCACATTGAGCCTTGAGGACTCATTTACAAGAGAGACTGAATATAATTGTTGTATTTGTCGTTTTTTATGGCACCAAGTACCTGATAACTGAGTTGATTGTAGCCTGACAACTATTGTAAAACTGTAATTCATTGATTAAAATGTTAATTTAAATTAAACTGTTTCTAGTTAAAATCATAACAGATGACAAAATAAGTGTTAACTGTGCAAAAATAAATTTCCAAACAATTTATTATAAAATATGTAAAATGTAAAGCAAGCTTTAATAAAGTACTTTTACTGACATTTATACTGTTTATTAATGACATCATCTGAAGTCAGCAGGAGCACCATCATCATCATCATCATCATCATCATCACAACAACACAAAGTGAGAGCTGTAAATTTAATCTGCACAAACATTTTCAATCAGGGCTCAAAATGTTGAACTGTCAAAGAAATGTGCAAGAAAATAAACTAATGTCACTCTACAGGCACATTTAGAGAGAGGACAGTTCACAGAGACACAGTGAGGACGTGTGAGACTGAAGGAGGTTCAACCATTTGTTCATGGACCAGAACCAGATGAGAAGAACAGCAGAACTTCCACTGACCAGTGATCACACATGTTGTTCTAAATTAAACTTTGGTACGAACAGTGTTAAATAAGACATGTCATATTTTTATTGAACAATAATCTTCATTCTAACAGTGACGTTATAATTTCAGAGACTGAGGAAGAAACAGAAATGAGGCGAGTGAGATGAGGGACAGATGAAAATGTGTCCTCAGAGGACGGGGACATGTCAGGATCTGATGATCCAGGATCAACAGGGCCAGGATGGATCAACAGGACCAGGACGATGGATCAACAGGACCAGGAGGATGGATCAACAGGCAGTCAGGGAACAGAGATGAACAACCTGAGGAACAATTAGAACACAAAAACATACATAAGCAGGACAGAAGAAACTCAGACAAGAAAATTAACTCAGTCCTGAGAAGAAAAATGTTAACAATGGAAAATAAATTGACATATTTTTACAAAAGATCAGATGAAGACAACTGGCATGAAGAATAACTTCCAGCTCCATCTCAATGTACCTGTGATAGTTTAATAAGTGTTTTGTTACTGTCCTACAGTTTATTGATGCTGATATATTCTTGTAATAATTCTTATTTCTTGTTCTGTCTTGAAAGAGTCTCATCTCAACTTGACCCATGATTACCAAACACTAAACTAATAATATAAAACTAATGTAAATCAACAGTCCTGCAGTAAATACCAACTTTGTGAAGGTTATGGTGTTAAAGTGATTTTATTCAAACATCTTGATTCAGCTGTTATTGATTAATAGAAGACAGAAAATGAGATCTTGTACCTTTGTGATACTTTGAATGCAACATTCAGTTCATGAAGTCATTCTCCTCTGGTTTACCTGGAAAACATGAAAAAATTGACTCATCTCCACAATCACGTTTTTCTTTAATGATAATGTCACAATTTATGCTGCAGTCTTTGACAAATGATCTATAACTTGAACTAAATTACGTCAATCTTGTTGTCATGTTGTCATCATTCTTTGTTAAATCAGGTCTCTCTTGTAAATGAGTCCTCGAGGCTCAATGAGATTTACCTGTAGAAATAAAGGTTGAATGAATCTCTCAGGAAAAAAAGCCAAATATTTTCATGTTGAGTTCAGTAACTGGAATTACCATAAATTAAAAAAGGACAACCTTTCAAAATTTAAGCAGTAATAGATATTTTAAAACGCTGAATTAGAAATAGACCCGTTTAAACCGTCATGTTGCAGAGCAGCTGCAGTTAAAACACAACTAGTAATTTAACATGTTTCATTAACTAAAACTGGCGACATGAAGTATTAATGTTGATAAATTGTGGTACAGAACAGTCAGATAACGCTTCACAATGGCAAAAAAGTGTCGTATTTGCATCAACTTACCGGGAAAACACGGAGAATGAACTACGTTCAGTGCTGAACCCGCTGCTGTTTGGAACTCTTTGCCGCTTCATGACCCACGTGACTTCCGCATTCCAGTCTTTCTATGGGAGTCTATGGGAGTGTCGCAACTCTCTCTTTACAGGGCTCTGGCTCAAACGAGCCTGTTCACATGTTTTTCTGCTTCTACCAGGGGCGCCACCAAAAGGGGGACACAGAGGAGGCAATGACCCTTTATGCAATTTTACTACCCACCCCCCTAAAAGCCCCCACCGGGCCCTGACCAGTTAGTTTTATGTTATCTGTTAGTAAAGTATCACATAATCCAATGAAAATCTCAGAAAGTATGGTATAAAGTTTATTCATTAAAAAAAATACAAAACAATTCCATAACAATATATATAAAAAAAAATATATATATAAGAGATTTAAAATGAAAGGCAGCAGAAAGAAGAAAAAATCTTATATCTGCCCCTTTTTTCAAACAATTAGTTCAATCGTAATAATCTTCAAGTAACAGTACAAAATGAATAACTCTTTCTAATTTTTCTAATTAAGTAATCAATGGAAAAGATAGAACTTTATTGATCCCGCAGGAAATTTTGGTGACAGTTTCAGTACAAAATACACACACATATGTATATATATAATAGAATATAAAAATTACAGGGAATATAAAATAACAGAGAATATAAAAATAACAGAAAATATAAAAATACCAACAGTTAAAGTCTAAAGCAGGTCAGGTGCAGACAGAAACATTGGTGCAGGATTACCAGTAATCTTACTGTGTAGAAAGGGGGAGGGGTTGAACAGTTGGAAGGACTTCCTGTGGAGTTCTGTGGAGCACCTCGGTGGTCTCAGTCTAGGACTGAAGGTGCTGTGGTCAGAGTCCAGGGTGTCATGCAGGGGTGTGACGTGTTGTTCAGGATCTGGAGCAGGTTCCTCATCATCCTCTGCTCAGACACCTGTCAGAGACTGCAGGTCCACTCCCAGAACTGAACCAGCTCTCCTGACAAGTCTCATCAGCTTTCTTCACCCTGCTGCTGCTGAATGTACATCTTCAATGTTTAACTGGAGTCCACCTGACTAAAGGTCACATCTACAGCTAATCAACCTTAGCAACCGCCAGAACGACCAGAACTCCATCTTTTTTAGTTATTAAGGTAAAAGTTGGCGTGGTAGTAGCTAACAGTCATCCCCAACACATACTCTGAGCCAAGTCATGTGACATGTTTAAAATGTTTCAGTTATTTATTGCAGCCAACTCTGACAAAACATGTGATCCACTGAAAATATTTTAATGAAAACTTCAGGAAGTTGTCACTGGATGTGCATCTACAGATGATTAACTTCTGAAGTCACCCTGATTCAACACGGCTAGTTCGTGATCACAAAAATATCTAGTTCCTTTATTTTTATAACCACTGAGCTCAGATACGGTGTGGTAGTAGCTGAGGGTCATCCCCAAAACAGTGCTAGATCACACACGCACTCTTTATATTCATGTAGTTTAACACTGAAACACTAGAGAAAAACTGGAAAATAGAAAGTGTTTAATTTTGTTGTCTTAACTGTGATGATGGTATTTGCTGCTCATCTCAAATTGATTTAATTCTCAATGGGACTTTTCTTTTTAAATAAAATAATAAAATTGCCTTTAAGGACAAATCTCGAGCCCTCCCCATAAAAACAAACAGAAAAACCCACACATGTATAAAAAAATGCAGAGTTCGCAGGAATTTAACCAGAGACACGATTGACCGATTGTGGCAGGAGACAAAAAGCACCAACTGTATATTAGTGCTCGCTAATAAACCACTGAGAGAACGACCGATTGCTGTATATACACGCTCTGGAACAATATTTGCTGCCATCCATACGTCTTTCTCAACTAACTCTGTTTATTAGATACATTTTGGTTCCGTTGGTTCACATTCAGCACAATAATGTGAATATTTCTGCATGAAACACCACAAAAACAATAAGTCTTGATGACAGCACTGGGACTGTGTGAATCTGAAGTGTATTTATTAATCAGTAAGGCACAACAGAGCGTGTTGCTGACATTTAAAGACATGAAACAGTGAGGACACGTTTATGGCTCGTCAGTTGTGAACAGTAGTGTAGCTGAGGAGAAGGGGTGAACGGTCAGTGCGTTCTTGTGAATAAACATGAGAAAATACTAAATACAAAGCTGTCACGTTAAAGCTTTAGGTTTTGTGTAACATCATCACATGTACCTTTTTATAATTTAACGCGTTTACCTTCTCTTACCAAAAAATAATGTTTTTTGCCAAGATTTGACAGTGATGAACTCCATTTTATAACAATACTCCGGTGATCTGCGCTCCAGACGCACGATGTAAATAAACAAGGTTCTGTTTTGATCACATTTTCAAACTGATGATCAGAATCAAAGGAACAAGACAAAATGTAAATGTCTTCAGCAGCAGAGCACGCACGATGTACTACTGATGTGCACGCAACTCCCTGCATCTGCTTGATTTTTGTGCAAAAAAGTTAAAACCGTCACAAACCGACCAAAGATTCAGTCACATTTTTCGACAAACTTACAGTTAGTAACAGTCTATTACAGCGTTTTGTGCAGAGGAATAAGGTCACTTCAGTTTTAGCTTGTCACATCAAAACAACACGACAACAGAAAAACAAAAAAACATGCCCGTCTGGCTACATCTGGAGTGCAAATATTAAACAAAAGGCACCACATGCATTCAAGGTTAATCCTCTGACATACATCGAACTCACTCTCTCAGTGGGAAACAAAGGGAAAGAGACAACGGAGAATGCGTCACTTCTGTTTTAAACGAGTCTCAGTTAGAAGCTTCAGGTCATCCTTCCATGTTTCATGAGAACCGTTTATTTCCAATTCAGTCCAGGAATCCCCGTCTTTGCCATCAGTGACAGTTTTGGCATTTAGGATGACATTTCTGATTGTTGACGTTGCATCGACATCCTCCACTGGTGTCTCCAGGACCCTTTTAAAAGAAGAAGAATTAGGACGGTGAGGTTAACACTTAAAGACAAGAGGGAAAAGGTGAGCAAAGGTTACGATTCGGGGAAGATCTCTCACCTTGGGCCCCCAGCGAGGCCCTCTGGTTACCCAGCAGATCTCGGTGTGACAGACAGTGCAGCGCAGCCAGTCACATCCATCCCTCTTCTGCACAATGATGCCACACTGAGGACAGTGCATGGCCTCTCCTGACTGGACAAGGGTCTGTTTGTGAGAGACGGAGCAGAAATGAGAACACGAGCAGCTGCACATAGATCACTTCCCTCTTTGATTATTCCTTTTTGTAAATAAAATCTGGGAGCCACCAGTTTAACAGTTTTCCTTTGCACACGTTTTTGCAGCTAACCTTCAGTAGATGTGTCGTCCTCCTGGCGGCGGAGTCATTTATAGCACGTGCTGCAAGATCATCCTGATACTGTTTGCAGTTCATTCCTTCGTGAATCGCCTGTGGACAGAAATTTCAGTCAAATTTTCGTGCTTAATAAAATCTAATAGCTTGATCCATTATCTGCTGCTTGCTCGAGTCGGGTCTCGGGGGCAGCAGCTTGAGCAGGGAGGCACAGACTATGCAAAAAAATATATTTTGACCACCTATATATGAACTCTCGTTCTTTCGGTGATCATAGATGATAATATTTTTTTATTTATAATGCACTTTACATTCACACTGGGTCTCAAAGTGCTACAGTGAGTGAACATCAGGATAAAAAGCAACCGAGAGGAGGAACTCCACGCCTCAGAACGATCACATCAAAAACTTGAAATGTAGATAAAATACTCAATAAGAACTATGGCTGCAATAAAAAACAAAAGTACAATTCAATCAATTAAAAAACTGCGTAAAAAGAAAGGTTTTAAGACCTTTTTTTAAAGATGAGGGTAGTACGTGGACTAACCGTCAAATAGACCTTCACCTTGTAGCTCAACTCCCTGTTGGCCACAACAAATTGGTACAGAGTTTGCTTTACTGCAGAAGCTGCAGTATCTCTGCAGTCGGTCGACCTCACACCCCGTTCTCTCTTCACTCTTGAACAAAACCAAGACACCTAAACTCCTCCACAAGAGGCGGCACCTCACGCTCAGCCAGGAGAGTGCAGCCCAGACAGGAAAATTTATTTTAAAATGTTCTCTGCATCATGTTTAGATCAGATGTTTCTAATGTTAGTGATATTACGCAGGTGGAAGAAGGAGGTGCTAGTAACGTTTTTAATGTGGGGGATAAAAGACATGTCCTGATCAAAAATAACACCAAGATTTTTAACTTTAGAGCTGGAGGACAGATTAATGCATCTAAGGAGGGAGAAAGACTGAAACATTCATTCCTAAGGTGCTCAGGTCCAAAAACCAAAACCTCAGTCTTGTCTGTTCAACAGGAGAAAATTAAGGGTCATCCAGGTTTTTATGTCTTGAAGACATGCTTGTAGTCTAAGTAGCTGATTGGATTCATTGGGTTTCATGGACAAATATAACTGAGTGTCATCAGCATAACAATGAAAATTTATCCCATGCTGTTTAATAACTTTACCTAATGGAAGCATATATAAAGTAAAGAGTATTGGTCCAAGCACTGAACCTTGAGGAACTCCATGACTACCTTTGGTGTATGATGAAGATTCATTATTTACATTTACAAAGTGGAATTACCAACAAGAGATGGCAGGAAACTTGATCAATCAACGTGCACACGTATATGACAGGAACATTTTCAGTAAATGTGAGTTGTGCACATTTCCAACCTTGCAAATGAGACAGTTGTGCTTCCTACAGACAGGGCAGTGGAAGACATTGACAGTATCCTCGTACACACACCATCCCACACAGTCGGGAGTTGCACAATGATAGCTGCCCTCGCACCGAGACTCTGCCACCGACAGGCCCCTCTGCAGCCACCGCTCATACTCCTCAGCTGGCAACAGCTGGAAGACAAGATGGAAGGTTTACTGTGTGACAATATACAGATGTCCTCTTTGAACAACGCTGGTGCCACTCACAGCTCGAATTTCCCTCTCCTGCAAAGCACCGGCGCAGGAGTAGGTGTCATCTCTGTATGGACAGGACACCTCGGGCTCCTCGCTCAGCATGATGACGGAGCGTAAACACTCTCTAAGCACCAGCACATATAAACACAAACACACACACCAAGTCAGAAATAAGAAAAAATTCTGTTGAACAAATACATATTTTACTTTTCACCTCGTCTTACCTGCAGAAACAGTGCAGACACTCCCTCAGCAGGACTCCCTCTCCTGGTGGTAGCTCCATGTAGCAAATCCTACAATCCACAGGCTCAGGGTTGGGCACCAGGTCCTGACCGTCCAGTCTTTTAAGACGGGCAAAATTCTCCATTCTCTCCTTCTCCTTTGCCTAAAAGGATGCACGATGTTGGGAGCCGAGAGACATTTAGGACACGTTCTGGAAATTATGCTCTCCTGTATTTTTATATTATAGGTTACCAATGATCATTGAATGTCCAATCAATGTCAAAAACACTCAGTCAGTACGTCCAACCATTTTCTACTGCTTATCCATGGTCGAGTCATGGAGGCAACAGGTTTAGGCAGGGAACTCAGACACTCCTGCTCCCAACACTACAACCCCTTCTATGGAAACCCAAGCCAGGAGAATTTCCAATACAGCAAGTTCTGGGTTTGCCTCTGGGTCTTCTAGTGGGACATGCCTGGAAAACCTCTAGAGGCATTATGATCAAATGTCCAAACCATTTCAGCTTACTCGTTTTAAGGTGGCGGAGCAGTTCTACTACTTTTCCGTATCTTTAGGGCTGAGCCCAGCCCCCCATAGAGAAAGACCATTTCAGCTGCTCGTATTGCTTTTAGTCACGATTCACACCTCTTTACCATAGATGAGAGTTGGAACGTAGAGACCAGTAACTCAAGAGTAACTTCTTCTTCACCCAGACAAACCGAAGCAACACCCTCATTACTACGGAGGAAGTCCAAATCAATCATCTACATCACTCATAAACAAGACTTTGAGATGTTTTCACTTGAAGTACAGACTCACTCCAGACCCAGAGAGACATTTCCAGCTTTTTCTGGTTGAGAAGCACGGCCTGGTTTTCTCTGAAAGAACAGCAGAGGTGAGACCCTGAGGTTCCCAAACCAGACACCCTCTTCTCCTTGACTGTGTCTCAAGAGCCTGTCCTCGAAGACCTCAGGGTCAGAGACAAAGGACAGTCCTGTTCAGCTTGCACAACAAGATAACAAGTTTGACTGTACCAAGTCTGAATACACGTCCTTGCTTTGGTTATGCAGGGGCTGGATAGTGCACCGTACTCCTGCCTCCCACACTGAATGCCTTGGGGAACTTGGTCATAAGCCTTTTCCAAATTCACAAAATTCCAATAAACTCCACAAAGGTTAAGATCTTAGATCACACTTCCACCATTTAAAAACGGGTGCCACTGCCCCGGTCTGAGACTCCACAGGGGTTGTCCTGGTCCACCACAAGACACAGAACCATCCTGGTCCACCACAAGACACAGAACCGTCCTGGTCCACCATAGACACAGAACCGTCCTGGTCCACCATAAGACACAGAACCGTCCTGGTCCACCACAAGACACAGAACCGTCCTGGTCCACCATAAGACACAGAACCGTCCTGGTCCACCATAAGACACAGAACCACAGCAGCCAAACACAGTGAAAACCTTTTATTTCAGCTGGTTCATAAGGCAATACAGTTACAGTGCAAAATCAAACGACACATTCAATTTTGTGGCAACTTTTGGCGCTAAAATGTTTATTAAAATGACATCAACCATTATAAATATCCAGCTAGATGGTCAACATCTGGAAAAGTCTAGATCTAAAACAACTGTAACGCAAAAACAAAAACTCTAACTGATTTAAACAGAACGGTTTCTTAACACCAGCACTTTTGTCCCAATGTTCCAGCTGACTCCACAGTTTGATAAAACATGAATCAGCTGTTTTTAAGCAGCTTGCCTTCTGATAGTTTAAACATTGGAGCCTGATGTAGACAATGACAATGCTAATGAGAATTTTAAAATCCGTTCAGCTTCATGATCCATTTGTCAAAAGCCGTTAACGTTTAGACTAAATGTGTGTGCGATCATTTCTCATGTCCTCTGCAGCCTGATCTACGCAGGGCAGTGTGTGGATCAGTGTGTAGTCAGTAGTCCTGGTCCAGGTTAAACAGCAGTGAGTTGTTTTGAGGCCCAGCGCTCCTCAGCGTCTCTCTTCTCCCCTTCTCCTTCAGAAAAACAGAGACACAAGAGAAGAGAGTCAGCCTGAGTGAGTCTGAAATCAAATCTCAACCGTAGTTTGGAATCAGTTTTTTCTTCCTCCCAATAATAATTTTGATCCGTTTGTCTTTTTGTGCCTCTGTTTTGGTGTTTGTGTGGCCGACACATGCATACACGTGCACGGACACATTTATGTACTGCTGGGTGTCGAGTGTAACGGTCTTACCTGCTGGTACTGCCTAATGGCCTCCTTCTCCTGCTGGATCCGTTGGAGCTCCAGTGCATCAGGTTGGTACCCGCCCGGGACCACGTAGCTCTCGGGACGGTTGGTGCTGCAGATCTCACAGCCCGGCCGGGTCGGCTTGTTGATGTATGTGCAAGAAGGACAAGACCAACCCTGAAGGAGACATTTGAACTTTAAATCTCTCCGTCTTGTTGAACTTTACTCTGTAGTTTGCACTAAATTATACAAACAGATGGGCAGACTTAAGAGGGCAGTTTGAATGTTTCGTTTCAAACCCACTTGGAGTGAATTTAATTTTGTATTTCCTTTATTCTTTCTGCTGCAGGAAGTGCTTTAAAATAGCAGAAGTATACGAAAGAATTTCCACGCCACCTGAGAGGACGATGTGCTGGGACTCAGCGCTTCGTTGAGTTGAGGCATTTTCAGGCTGATGAGGTCTCTGAGCTCACAGATGTTCGGTTTCTCTGACCCAACTGTAGCAGAGACACAAATGTTTTCTGTGAATGTCGGCACACGCCCCGCAAGATACGATTCCTTCAAGTAACTCCAAATCTTTACTTCTTTTCACATCAGTGGTGCTGCAGTGGACAAACAATACCTTAAACTCAAGGATTTCTAATATATTTTGTAAATCACCAAAATATATCTATTAGTGATTTATATAAATTTGTGAAAACATTTTGCACCCCTCTCACCGTTCTTGAAGTTGCTGTGGAGTCTTGGAGGTAGGGTGGTGTACGGCCTCCGGTCCTGGGACGAAGGCCCGTTGGTGGATTTTGCAGCGAGCGGGGGGGTTTGAAAAGACAAAGTAGGACTGAGGAGGAGGGCGCTCTCTTGGTCCTGCTGCAGGTCCTGAACAGTCAGGCGAGCGTGCCGGGCAGACAGGAGATACAAAAAGGCCGTGTCGCCGTCCTGATGAACGCCGTACGAGGCGAGGGTTCGCTGGTCGGAGCACAAGCACTGCCCGATGATCCAGCTCTGCACTCGAGGGTGAAAGCCATACTCGAGGAACATCTGGAAAGAAGAGTGGAACGTCGGCAACAAGGCGGATAAAACAGTATTTAAAGAAAAAAGTGGAGAAGATGTGAAATGAACCTGCTGTTTTAACGATGCGGTTGTCATGAGTGGGAAAACTTTCACAGTGACACAACAAGATGAGGAGGAATCCTCCACTACAACAGCCAAACTGATGAAATCAAGCAGAAATCAAACATTACTTCACCTGCTATAAACTGGGCCTTTAAACGTTAAGCAGCCGAACCCGTACCTGATTTCAGTGTCCTCGTAGTCTTTGGCAGAGGGCTGGATCTTCAGCGCGGCGCGTTGTCGAGCGAGTGCAGTAGCAAAGACAGAAGAAGACTGAACGTCCCCCGCCTCGATGGCTCTGCTCAGCTCTATGCAGGCATCCTCTGCACAGAAAACACAGCAGGTAACCTGTGGCGTGGCACCAACAACAACCCTGTCAATAATTAGATGGAATGCACAAGGCACACCTGTTTTTTGTAAAGCCGAAGTCTTCTGAAACTGGAGACCATCAGGGAGGTGCTGGGAACCATTTTCTTCAGGTGCAACTGACAGCAAGGGAAACAGAGGAGACCAACGTCACCATAAAACACTGAGTCATATAAATAAAGTTAAAGACCTGGTTTTCCTGACCATCCCTTCTACACTAATTATACACGGTTCAAGTGCTTGACAGCAAGAAGAACAAAGTCTTTTTCAGACACCATAATGAAAAAGGATTAGTAAGAAGAACCTTAACCTATTTGAGAACAGGTTCTTCACGATGCTTGGAACAAATCTGCACGACCTTAAACTACAAATGTTCCAAGGATATTTTTACACCAAGGATGGTTACACAAGACCTACGTCAAAACACCCGTGAAGCTCACTCTTTAAAACCAGAAGACACAAAGAAATGTTCAAGGTTGTCCAAACATTTCACAGAATTTGGTCGTCTGCAACCTTTAAAATAAAAGGCAAAAAAATCTGATGTAATTTAACAAGTCTATCACACTATGCAGGCATACAAATTGTACTACAGGGGCTGGTCATAAAATTAGAATATCATGAAGAAGTTGATTTATTTCAGTAATTCCATTCCAAAATGTGAGGGAGATTCACAAAGAGTGGACTGCAGCTGGAGTCAGTGCTTCAAGAACCACCATGCACAGACGTATGCAAGACATGAGTTTCAGCTGTCACATTCCTTATGTCAAGCCACTCTTGAACAAGAGACGGCATCAGAAGTGTCTCACCAGGACTGCTGCTGAGTGGTCCAAAGTTCTGTTCTCTGATGAAAGTACATTTAGCATTTCCTTTGGAAATCAAGATCCCAGAGTCTGGAGGAAGATGAGAGGCACAGAATCCACGTTGCTTCAGGTCCAGTGTCAAGTTTCCACAGTCAGTGATGGTTTGGGGTGCCATGTCATCTGCTGGTGTTGGTCCACTGTTTTCTGAGGTCCAAGGTCAACGCAGCATCTACCAGGAAGTTTTAGAGACTTCCTGCTGCTGACCAACTTTATGGAGATGCAGATTTAATTTTCCAACAGGACTTGGCACCTGCACCCAGTGCCAGAGCTACCAGTACCTGGTTTAAGGACCATGGTATCCCTGTTCTTAACTGGTTAGCAAACTCTTCTGACCTTAACCACATGGAAAATGTATGAGGTATTATGAAGAGGAAGATGTGATACACCAGAGCCAACAATTGAGAAGAGCTGAAGGCCACTATCAGATCAACCTGGACTCTCAGAACCTGAGCAGAGCCACAGACCGATCCACTCCATGTCACGACGCATCACTGCAGTGATCCAGACACAAGGAGCAACAACTAAGTATTGATGCTGCACATGCTCATACTTTTCAGTTGGACAACATTTCTAAAAATCCTTTTTTTATTGGTCTTAATATTCTAATTTTCTGAGATGCTGAATTTGGGGTTTCCATCAGTTGTCAGTTATAATCATGAACATTAAAAGAAATAAACATTTGAAATATATCAGTCTGTGTGTAATGAATGAACATAATATACAAGTTTCACTTTTTGAATGGAATTACTGAAATTAATGAACTTTTTCATGATATTCTAATTCATGACCAGCACCTGTATATATAAATGTTCTCAGTCGGCCATCTTGTGCACTACTTGGACTGTCCAAGCTACTGAGTGAGAATCTTTCAGGAGCTGCTGGAGTGGAACTTCCTCATTCTCCTCCTCATCCTCAGCATCAGACTTTGTCTCAGGGATTGAAGCAGGGAAACGTTTCTACACCTGGGGGTTACCCACGCATCCCTCCCGCTCACAATACGACACATCCGAGAGCCTTTTCCTGCATACAGGTCACTTCTCAAAGGTTTTCATGTAAAGAGTATACTGTGTATCTGACCCTAGTAAAAGTACACAGACTAGTGTTTTCTAATAAAGAGTTAAAGTTGTAAGAAGACTTTAAACTTGCATCATCAAGACCAACGGCATTCTGAGGGAAGAGAGGGGCTCTGAACAACTTTTCTCTTGTTTTACGTCATTTCGGTGTTTTTATTTTTTTATTAGGGATTTTCAAATATACAGTATTTTAAAAATTATAGCACAGGACATCCTTTGCCGAGTATAAATGAATTGTAAATTATATATTTTTTTAATTTACCAGACCAAAAGATTTCTCTCCTATAATAACTATTTCATTCAAAGGGATTATATTTACAAGATTTCAGCTCTTGTAGTCAGTTAACACCATTTATTTTTCACATTTATTAAATTACATTTATCACAGTACAGTGACCTCTCAGTATGATTCTAAATATTAATTTTAGCACATCCAAACACCTTGTTATTGCTATAATATCGTGCAGAGTTGAACTTTGCAGATATTTATGATAAACCACAAACACCTGAATCTGACTCAAGAGAACTTTGTGAGTTTGGAGGAAATATTAAAAATAAACAGCGACACGCATCTCATCTGTAATCCGGGACATAAATATTTGTATTTTAGTGGTAATATTGTTTAATTATAAGAACGAAAGCAGCAGATGCTCTCACCTTGAGGGACACTCGGGCTGAGAGCGATCCTGCGGCACGGCCGGCGCTCTCTCTCTCTCTCGAACCAGAAGTTTAGTCACGTGCACAGGCTGCACGTCTGAACAATGATGACGACGCTCCCAACACATTAACGTTTAACACAAAGTTTGATTTTAGATACAAGGGTCCCGGGGAGGTCTGGTTCTGGCATCTCCCCCGGCTATGAATCGACGCGAGCACACGCGTTAATAATTTATTACGTCATCATCTTCATCATGGTAAAGGGGTGTCCTCCTTGGAAAACAGCACAAGAAACACTGATTTGTGCTCTCACCTGCAGGAACGCTGTGCACACACCTGTCGTGCATCAGACAGCACGACCCGCCCTGCTCTGACTGGGTCAAACTGTGGCTCCGGTTCTGTTTATGTGTTTTAAGCAGCATCAGTTTAATCCCTTTATCATTAAATCAAATGGCTTTAAAAACACATTTTCCTTTCATTTCCATGAATGACAGAAACCCGTTGCGGTGACGGAGAACTTTAATCCTTGTCGATATCACTTGGTTGTGATGAGATCTGGTTGTCCCCCATGAAAATTGGTTGACTTGGGACAACCGGAAACAGGTTTATGAATATATTTACAAACTATATGTGTGAATAATTAGCAGGTCTGAGGTCAGTTTATGGTGTGAAGCTTAGTTTTAGTGTCACAGAAAGATCTACATGAGGAAAAAACAACTTTTATTTAAATGGGATGTTCGTAAACAGGCGCCTGACCTCTGTGTGCTTCTTTCAGAGCCGATACGACCACAGTGGCCCACTCCTGGGCCTCCCGCTCACAACGGAAGTTGAAGCCGATGCGATCGTGCGGCGGTGCAACCAACACTAGCTCGTGACACTTTGGTGACTTCAACTCGTAGTTTACCGACCTCAGGTCAAACTCGGCGATGGCCTGGGGGAAGGAACGAGGAAGAAGAAGAGGAAAACGTTACATAAAAATGAAGAAGGTGCATGAATCGTGCGCAGTAATCTGGTGGTCATGAAGTTTGGCCACATCAGCTGTGGTTAGTGCTGCAACCACAATAAATAAAAACATATGGAAAAATGTTGACCACGCACAAAAAGACTGGTCTTATGAAACATGAGTAAAGTATCATGGTATGGGCTTTACTTCAATTTAATTATAAAGCACTTTTTTTTAAATAAGTTTACAAAGAAATATTTAAATTAGAATTTTTTAAGCATAATAATTTTAGGCTTGCTTGCACAGTTTGTAACAAACTCGTTTTTTGTGCCATTTAGTAGAATTAAGTAATTTTGCGTGCAGGTTTGCTGTAAATTAGAGAGTTTTTAAATAAAAAGATAAAAATCAGCCTTCAGATGCTGCTGTGACCCGGCCCACTCACCACGCTCCGAACCGAACCGCTGGTGTCCAGCAGGGACAGGCGGAATTCCCCGGACTTCCCCGGGTCCATGCCGAGCTGCAGGCGGAGTGACTCAGCACCCGCTCCCGGAAGACACAGCGGCCGAATCCCGGAGTGGCACACCGACACCTGAACCGACATGAGGACGGTTTGGCAGCCGCTCTGGGTCGGCGAGGCCTCGTCGTTATTACTGAGGCTGCTGGGCAGGACGGCGGAGGACTGGTCCGGCGGGAGGCCGGGGGTTTGAGTCCAACCGTCCGAACTCAGCGACATCCCGTCCACGGATTCATGAAGAAAACAACACTCAGGAGTCCTGCGGCTTGATCTGTACTGCTCCGCGGCGTTAAAAAGTCCCTCACATAGCTTTAGCCGCGGGGTTTTTTTTTTTCAACAGGAAGCGCGTCGTGACAACTAGCGCCGCTTAGAAAAAGTTAAAATTAATAATAAACGAGCTGAAGGTTTCACCTCTTCGTTTCTCCTTTCTTTGAGTATGTTCCGACAAATCTGCGTATCTTTACGGCTGTGAAGCTCCGAACCGCAACGGTTCCGACGCTCGATTGTTTTGTCTCGAAACTGTTTACCCGCTCCCACTTCCTACTGCGCATGCCCAGTCGGAGCATGTCCAGTTGGAGCATGCGCATTAACACTTTAATATTCCCAGTGAACAGAAATGGTTCTCCTTTGTCCAAATACTTTTGTATATATTTATGTACATTTAAAAAATACTCGCACGTGACTTGGGTGTATTATCCGGAAATCAAACCCGTTTTTTTACGTTTTTACGTGTTATTGTACGTTTGACCACACAGAGGCAGCAAAACATTCTGTTACACTTTTCATGTTTTCTTCATCAGAACCATAACAGCGAATAATAAAACTAAATTAACTGTATTTAAAATGTATGTAAAGATTAACTAAATAATGCATGTCTGGGATCAGAACAGCAGAGAAAGCAGACACACTTTAGGAAAAAAGAACACAAAAAGCAATAAATGTTACTATACTCAACCTTCCTGTCCTTTAAAGTCTTTTTAAATGACTGATGATCCCCGTGTCATTCATAATGTATTACTCAAAAGGTCTCCATTGATACTTATAAACCCAGTTCATATACTGTTTGTTAAAAATTATTTATAAAAAAACAAACTTTAGATGCACTTGATGGCAGGAAAAACACTGATCCCTATTCATGTTGTGAAAATACAGTTCACAGACTGAAATCATTAGTGACAATCAGAAATGAGACAAACAGTGTAAATAAGAGGAAAACTGCTGAAAGTGAAACGTGTGCTGACAAAATGAGTGGAATGAGCAAAGTGAAACAGCATCTCAGCATTCTAAAGGTATGTCTTCACATGTAATTCTCTGGCCTATCATTTTTTTTAGAACTTTCTTGACAATTGATATTTTGTCTTTCCTGGCTGCTGTAGCCCTAGGAAATCCCTTTGTATAATGTTTGGCCTCATTGTTGGTCATTCCTCTTTTTAAATACGGGGCTGGAATTTCCAGTGAAGTCACTGACCAATAATAATAATTTAAAAAATCTAACCAGCACTCATGTAAAAAAACTTGCTAGAAGATAAATCATTAAACTTCAACAACATATGCATCATTGTGAAGCTTTTGAGATAGAGAATTTGAAAAAAAAAATACTCAGTGAATAATAATAAATCCTTATTGTGCCAGTTACAGCCACAGATATCTTCTCTGCACATTCACAGTACAACAAATGTAAATGCAGCAATCAAGGTAGGTATAGAGGACTGTACTAACATGTTAGCTAATGACCCAGGTGGGACTTGAACCCACAATCCCCAGCTCCGGAGGCTGATGCCTTATCCATTAGGCCACTGGGCCACTGGACAACTCTGGAGGAACAGATTATCATCTTGATATTATGTCACACAATGTTGATGTCCACAACACAGCAGGGCTCAGCAACTAAACTTCTCAGGGACCAGAAGCAGAAGAAATACACAACTTATTATAAATAATAAAATGTATCTGAGAAATATGTTTATCTCATTGTTAAACTTGCTTATATGCTTTATTTTATGATTATTGTTGTCATCATTCCTTGTTAAAAACAGGTTTCTCTTGTAAATGAGTCCTCGAGGCTCAATGAGACTAACCTGTATAAATAAAGGTTGAATGAATGAAAACTTAGATCTGTAATATAAGATGGAGCTAGGTTGTTGAGAGCTTTGTAGGTTAGAAGTAAGATTTTGAATTCTGTTCTGAATTTGACAGAGACATGATCTCTCCCAGTAACTCCAGTTAAGACTCTGGCAGCAGCATTTTGGATCAGATGAAGACGTTTTAAAGAAGTATTTGGACACCCAGATAATAAACCATTGCAATAGTCCAGACGTGACAAATGCATGGACCAGTTTTTCTGCATCATTTTTGGAAACAGCGTCTCAGCATTCTAATTCTCTCAATCAAAGTTTCATAACAGGTATGTCTTCAGATGGAATTCAATGTCCTACAATTTTTGCAACTTTCTTGAAAATTGATATTTTGTCTTTTCTGGCTGCTGTAGCCCTAGGAAATCCCTTTGTATAATGTTGATCATTCCTCTTTTTAAATAAGAGGCTGGAATTTCCAGCGACATCTCTCTAGACTAAAAACAAACAAACAAACAAACAAAAACAATTTAAACCAGCACTCCTGAACAAAAAAATAAAACTATAGCAAGGAGACAAATCACTAAACTTCAACAACATATCA